CAGCATATTTAAATAAGCAGAGTTCTGCTCATGTTGTTTAATCAAACATGATAAATAATGAATAACCAATGTTACCCCAGGTTTTGGGGTAATATCGGTTATTCACTATTTATCATCTTTGATCAATAATACACTTGCTATGGGGTAAAATTGGTCACTTTTTGGAGTTTTAAAAAATCACCAGTTCTTAAAAATTTAAAGAAACATGAAATAAACATTGTTTAAGCACAATAAACCTTGTTGTCCATTCGACATAGCAGTTCTGCGCTTTATAAACCACCATTGGTGGGATAAAAGTTCCATCTGCACTGCCATAATACATGATGCTTGTTACGGAATTGAAATATTGTATTTTTTTCTCAACAAGCTTAAGACCTCTTTGACAACTGTTTTTGAACATAACTGTAAATATGACTAGCAGATACATCTTTAACTACATGTTGCCATCGAGGTAAAGGTTGATTCATCGGGGTAAAGGTTGATATTCAATGCGTTGATCTCGGCACGTGCTGGTTTCACATTGTCTGCCAACTCTGGGTAAAATTGCTTCGTTTTATAAAAGATTTGAACCAGTCGTCACCGGGAACGTTATTTACGAACCGTGAATTATGAACACTGATCGATCCAAGTAATCTTTCACTACAAAATTTGATATCTATTGAAGTCAATGTAATTTTTCAGTTGGAGAGGGTGTTGATTGAAGTTACAAGATATGTTTCAGTCTCATTACTTAGAATCAACGGTGTCTACTTTGAATGTCGATTTTTACACTTGTTCTGTAGTGTACCCAATGGAACTCCAAACTGTCAACTAGCCTTTCGGATGCTCATTTTTCCAGTTAAATATGCTTTCATAGCATTGGTTTCTTGACTATATGTAGTTGCATATGCTCTTGAACCTTTCACTTGTTTTTCCTCGGCATTTTCACCGACTAAGAATCTAAATAGTTTAATAAATGTATCAGCAATGTCAAAAAACACCAAAATACATCAAAAATGTCAATGTAGTTTACGAAGTAACTGTGCTATATTCACAAAAATTGTTGGTATATCAAAAATTGTTGATATTTTCTTTAACTAATTTATTGAAAATTAAGTAAATAACAAACACTTTATAATTAAGCATAACATAATTAAGTAATAATGTAACATAAACAACAACAAATTTTACACAATTTTAAATTCATTTAATGAAATAAACAAAATGTATAAACTACCAGAAAAATAATTTGTTTTCAGTAACAACTGATTTTGACAACAAAACAAAAAACTGTCATGACAAATGATAATTTCCAAATATTAAGATATTATAAAAGTTTATATATGTAATGAAAGTAGTGTATTATCATATATTATATTGGCAATAAAAATATTATTTAACAAATACTGATATAGTTGAACACAACATCAAATTTGTAATGGCAATGCTGCCTTTTACTTGTTCCAGAAAAATTTGGTCGAGGTAGCAATATTTTAGAAGTTATTGCAGTTTCTCTACTACTTTTTCCTTTTTGGATTAAATGTAATGCATCTTTCATATCATTTCTGGAAATTTTTGCTTTTGAAGTTGTCCTTTTATAGACTCGAGGCATAATAACATCTGGTATAAATAAATGTAATGTTGCACAGGAGTTTTTTAATGATATACTAAGATATAATAGTCAAACGTAAATATGTTTTTACGCTGAAGTCAAAACTTTTTTAACAAGAGGTATCAGTCAGCTCATTCCATTGTTAAGCTGTAAAACTGGACTAAAACTTTAAATGTGCAATAAGTACGTGGTTTATGCATGTAAAATACTTTGTTCTAAAAACTACTCTGTTTATTAATAAATTTTGAACCACTAACTAATGTCTCGAAACAACCGGTATGCTTGGTAAAGAAGTTTCAAAAAATACAAAAAATTTACTTTTGCACAGAAAGAGTGGACGACAACGTAAACGCGGGCACCCGCACCAAGAAGCGGTACAAAAATTGAATTTTGTTAACAAGTAGGTAACTACTTGGTGAAAATCTTGAGTTTTTTTTTTTCCGTTTTAGCTGTAGGATCAACAATTCACTCCTATCCTTGGCTCTCTCCTACCCATCCTCCCTTACGTTATCTTTGTTAAATTTTCGGAATTTAAAAGAAATTAACAATTGAACAAAGTTACCCCGGCGACCAAAGTTAACCTAGGGTTTTAAAGAGATATAAGGAGATATTTTCCTATAACTTTAAAGAGATTTGGTCCCTGAAGACAATTTTTTGAAAGAAAAAGTTAGGAGAAAACGGTTACATTAGAAACAGAATCTTATTTTTCAATAAACTTCAAATATAAACAGAAAATTTATTATAAACTAACATCTTACTATATAAAAGAAAAATATATATATCATATATAATAGTAGTATAGGTTTACAAATATCAAAAAAGTATATATTTTCTTTATTATTATTTCTATATTAATAAGTATAATCCATTCACTTTAATAAAATTTTCAAGATGATTAAAAAAATATAGAGAGAAATTAAGAAGAGCAGTCAAATTTTACTTTTTTTAAGACTTTTATGGAGATTTTTTTTAAGGATATTTATAACTTTTAAGGAGGAGCGGGAACTCTGTCATATAATAAATTGCATCAAAAACCCTCTGGTTTTTTCTTCTCAACTGTACTAATTTCAAAATGGTTTTAGTTTTCAGCCTACTATTGGCAAACTAAGTTAAACAAAAATTTTCATCCTCAATTCATATTACAGTAAATACAAATGCTAAAAGCATTTTGCAAAAACAATTTCAGACTTCAACAAGTTTTTATAGTTAATTTTCTAAAATAACAAATTTAACTTGCTAAAACACAATTTTTACTTATGTCAAATTCCTAATTTATTCATTTTAAAAAGTAAAATTTGTTTATTATTATTCAATTTTTACTTCAAAAAGAGCATAATACTCTAAAGAAGAGTACGTCTGGTCACCCTATATATATATATATATATATATATATATATATATATATATATATATATATATATATATATATATATATATATATATATATATATATATATATATATATATATATATATATATATATATATATATTTTTGTATAACAAATAATAAAAATCACACGCCAAAATTCCAAAAACTTGTCATAAATTGGGTATTTATTTTTTCATGAAAAGCTACTATATTATTTTCAATTTAATAATCAATCTAAAGATATATAAGTCAATACATTAAGTTAAAAACCTTAAATAAAAAAGGTATGCCTTACAATAGGGAATAACAAAGATATTTTTGAATATGGTATAAAAGCAACAAAAATATAGTTTTAATACGGTATGATTTGCAATGAATATTAGTTAATTTGTTTTAACTTGCAGCTGATTTTTTAATTATTGAACGATAATAGATGTGAAAAATATACTATAAATATGTTTTAATTGCGGACTTTGCGTTTTACATAGATTTTAAATTTACCAAAATATGAAAAAAAAAAAAAACGAATATTTGAACTACTTTTAACAATTTAGGTAACAAATACGCTTGTATAAAGAAAAAAACAACGTTTTGAATATGTTTATTTAAAGAAATAAAACAAAAATAGTGACACCAGTCTTTTGATAACATAAAAAAGGTATATTTTGGGAGCTTTATAGTTGGTTTAAATTATTTTATTTGCAGCTGATTTTTTTTTTTAATAATATATGGATATTATGCTCTCTAATAATATATGGATATTTTACTAATATATGGATAAAATCATATCGATCAAGTCCATTCATGCGGATATAAGTTTTCGGAAGAAGTTGAAATTAAAAAAAAAAACTTTTATTTTATGGTTTCAAACATAAATAACTTATGCAAATATACAATAAAAAAAATTATCATTATTTCAAATTAAACTCTATACTATAAAATTTGTTTTAAAAAAAAATCTACACATATGTGCATATAGTTTTAAATTTATACACAAATAAAAAAAAGGTGTATTTTTGAAAGAAATTATTTATCGGTTTTTTATCGCTCTTGGATACGGCTATTGACTTTAAAATTATGAAACCTATACATTTATGAATTAAATTATTAACCCTTAAAGGACGGCGGGGTATTTTACTACCCCAGAAGAGTTTACTTTTAACTGCCACATCAACAAATTTTGTGTATTTGAACTGCCACTTCAGAACATCTTTTATTATCATTAAAGGAAGTTTTTAGTGTAAAATGTTTTTGTTTTACTAATCAATTGACAATAATATTGTTAGTTGAAAATTTAATTACGTTAAAGACGGTTGGGGTATTTTTATACCCCATGCAAGTTTTCTCATTTTTTAGTAAGTGAATCAATAAATAGCTTTATAAATCATGTTTATTTTAACACTTGTTTATGTTTTAGTTATTTTTTAATAGATATGGGGTATTATTTATCTTTTTTATGAGTAAATTATACCATATATTGATTAAATATATACACTCACTGTAACAACAGTAGTCTGCTCATGTTGCATATATTTTGTTTTTATGTCAAAAATATTTATATTATTGGTACAAAATAATAATGCCTACAATATTTGTTATATATTTTTCACATATTTGGTTTAATAAAGACTGAAATTATTTTTAGAATAAGTATAATTTATATAATGAGTCGCCCAAGAAGAAATGCTGCAGTCGAGACTAATAATATTATTTTTGGTTTAAATGACTTATCTTCAAGTGATGACTCAGCTGATGAAAACCTTACAGACGATGAAGAAGATATTGTTACAATTGACGATGAATCAGATGCTATCATCTCTGATCAAAGTAATGAAGAAGTTGTTCAGGAAAATCACATTTTAAATCAAAACATGATTTCAAAGAATGGTGAGGAAATTTGAAGTAAACTTCCATCTGTAAATGCTGCTCAGCCACGTGCACACAATATTATTTGACAACCAACTGGCCCAACAAGCTTTGCAGCTTAGGTTTGCGACCAAGGTGTGGATACTGCCTTTAAACTTTTTATAACACCAGAAATGATTAGAATCATTGTCAATTGCACTAATGCTGAAGCTCGTAGAATAAGACTAGAATGGGTTGACACGACAGTAAATGAGCTTTATGAGTTTATTGGAGTTCTTCTTTTAGCTGGAGTGTTTCATTATAAAAATCAAAGCATAAAAGAGCTTTGGAGTAAATTAGATGGCATACCGATATTTTCTACTTCAATGCAAAGAGATCGCTTTGTTAACTTGCGACGATGCATTCGATTTGATGAGAAAGAAACAAAAAATCAAAAACGGTTTGAAGACAAATTTGCACCTTTAAGAAATATAATGGAAATGTTTACTACTAAATGTAAGAGCAACTACAATCCAAGTGCATATCTTACTGTTGATGAGCAATTAGTTACATTTAGGGGACGTTGTCCATTTAAGATGTTTATACCTACTAAGCCAGGAAAGTATGGAATGAAGATATGGATATTATGTGATGCTGAAACTTCTTACTGCATAAATTTGCAACCGTATATTGGTAGAGTAAATGGAGTACGTGATGTTGGACAAGGTACACGAGTAGTTCTTGAACTAACTGATCACTTAAATGGAAGTGGTAGAGACATAACAGCTGATAATTTTTTTAACAACATTCATCTTGCACGTGCATTGCTAGGACGTAAAATGACATACACTGGCACCATTAAAAAAAATAAAGGAGAAATACCAAAAAAGTTATTGCCAGCCTTCCATCAACCAGTTTATTCTAGCATTTTTGGTTTTCAAAATGTCTCTACTATTGTTTCTTATGTACCTAAGAAAAACAAAGCAGTAATATTATTATCAACCTTCCATCACAGTAATGACATTGTTATGGACCATAATGAAAAACCGTGTATTATTTTCGATTACAACAAATATAAAGGTGGAGTTGACACATTAGACCAGGTTGTCAGGTGCTATTCAAGTCGCCGAAAAAGTAACCGATTGCCATTTACAATGTTTTGTAATATTTTGGATATTGCAGCATACAATGCTTTGATTTTATTCTTGTCAATTCACCCAAATTATAAAAATGGAGCTTCTCATAGAAGAAGAGAATTTTTAAAAGAATTATCAAAAAGTCTTATTAAAAAGTTTGATGCAAATGACAATCTTCCACAAATAGTTGCAAATAATAATCTTCGCCAAGTAATTGTACAAAATAACCTATTAAATCAAGGTCAACCAAATCAAGAGCAGCACATAAAAAAGTGCTATATGTGTCCTCGTGTTCAAGACAGAAAAACCCGTCTTCAATGTGCATCATGTAGCCATTCTGTTTGCAAGGCTCATAGCAAAATTGTTTGCAATAGTTGCCTTATTTAGGAGTTATATTTTGTTTTTATTTGAATAAATTGTATCAAATATCACTTTTATTTAAAACAACATTGAGAAAATTGATATTTTTGTTGAAAGCACGCATTTTAAGTTAAAAAGCTCAACATGTTTTCTATAAAAATCTATATTTTTAGTTGGGGTAGTTTAATACCCCAGCCGTCCTTAACGTAACTTTTTTTTCCCGTCCTTTAAGGGTTAAAAACTAAAAATTATGAAACCAATATATTTTTGAATTGCCTGGACAATGTTGTATTTAAAAATAATAAAAATAACAAAAATTACAGACTTTTTTTTTTTTTAAATATTTGCCAAAAATAAAGTTTTTCAGACCACTGTGCGATGGTGAGATTGAGCATATGATAAAGTTGTGTCTAAAATATGCTTCAGATTGTGACAGTGGACAGGATGCTCCAGAAATAGGCTAAAAGTATGAGGTTTTCATCAACCCAGGGTGAGTGGGAGAACGACCCTGATGATTACAATACTGTAAGTGCTTGTCATCAGTAGCCACTGGTATCTACACTGGCTTTTTAAATATTTTATAAATGACTTGACCAATTTGTTTAATTGTAAATTTTAAATTAGAAAGATGAAAAAATACTGATTTAAAACTGGGGTGACCAGGCTTGGGATTAAAGTTAGACAACAAATCTAATTTTGGAAAGAACCACGACACATTCGTGGTTCTATCCAAAATTATATATATATATATATATATATATATATATATATATATATATATATATATATATATATATATATATATATATATATATATATATATATATATATATATATATATATATATATATATATATATATATAAAAATATATTATATATATATATATATATATAAAAACATCACTGATATAAAAAAAAAAAAAAAAATTCATCTGTGATGACTAATTTAACACCAGCTCAATTAAAGCAAGTCGAGGACGCAATTAAAAAACTTATTCATGCTGAAACTGCGAAATGGTCGGCCAAAATATCTGAACTAGAACAAGTAATAAAGCAACAACAATTAATAATAGATAAGCTAATCCAAAATCCTAATGAGCTAACTAATACCACAACCAGTAGTATCGAATCCAGCTGGGTTACAGTTGCAAGCAAAAACATAAAAAAAAAGCAGCCTATTGATCAACTAAATATTATCAACACATTTGCCATTGAGCAACAGCAAAAAAAGAAGCGTGAAAAAAATGTTATTATTTATGGCATTAAAGAATCTGCAAAGTTATCAGTTGCTGATAAGCATATCGACGATAAGGAAACGGTTCAGAATATCTTAGTTACTATTTCATCTGATGCAAAACCAAAATCTGTCAAACGTATTAAATCTACGTCCTCTAAACCAGGACCAATTATCGTCGAACTTTCTGATGTCTCCGAAAGAAACCCATTATTAACAGCAGCAAAAAAATTGAAAAATTCAGATAATTATAAAAATATTTTTATAAGCCCAGATTTGACTGAGGCTGAAAGATATTTAAACTATCAGTTAAGAATGAAGCGTAATGAATTAAATAGTAATATCAATTTAAAAACATCGCCCTTTAGATACGGTATACGAAGCAGCGGAGTCGTCAAACTCAAAAATATACAAACCACTACATAAACATTACTACCCTTCTTCCACTCTTTTACCAGCAAACTTAAAATACAAAAGTAAAAATCTTCATAACAAAAAAACAAACTATAGCGTTAATTGTTATTATACTAATGCTACATCTCTCGATAATAAAATGGCCGATTTAATTTCAATATCTAGAACGTTTGATTATCACGTTATTGCTATCTCTGAAACATGGTTTCGAAATGACTCAGTACCTAATATCGATGGGTATAGCCTATATCGTAAAGATCGTCAAGACGGACGTCGAGGTGGCGGTGTAGCTATCTACATTACAGACGTATTTAACTCTCATGAAGTTAACCAATTTTATACAAATCTTCTCGAACAAGTCTGGGTATCTGTAAAATTTAACAACAAACATATACTTATCGGTTGTATATACAGACCAAATGATGCCAGTTTAATAAAATATGTCGCTGAATCCTTCAAATTAGCTCATAGTTTAATTAAAAAGCCCTATGATGACTGTTTGATTGTCGGTGACTTTAACTTCCCGAATATAAAGTGGTCTAACGATGGTATTGAATCTTTTAACCCAAACAATCCTACCGAGTATGATTTCTGGAATATTTTCCAAAACAGCCTTTTTACTCAACATATCACATTTCCTACTTTCCAGACTGATCATGGTTCCTCAAATAATATGTTGGACTTGTTATTTACCTACAACAGTAATTCTATTTTAAACTTGTCTCCTAGTACTATACTAGGTAACACCACTAAGGGTCATTTTAGTATCACTTGGAGATTCTTAGTTTCAGAACTGTTTACCGAAAGTGAATCTCAATCGTTTAATTACAAAAAAGGTGATTACGATTAAATATCTAACTTTATTGCATCAATCGACTGGGAGTTTTTATTCCTGCATAAAACTGCAGATCAAATGTTCAATATACTAATTTCTAACTATCGCACTGCTTGCACATATTTTATTCCCAAGATTAATAAAACAAAAAAAAAGTATGATCCTTGGGTTACCCCACATATTAAAAACCTGATCCGAGAAAAAAAATCCGCTTGGCATATAAACTGCTCTACCAAATGGGAGAATAGTGAGCTTAAAATAAAATACAATCGCCTTAATCGTTCAGTAAAAACTGAAATATTTAAAGCAAAAAAAGCACATGAAAAAGAAATAATATCAAAATCCCAAAACAACCCAAAAATCGTTTACAAATATATCAACAAACAACTAAAAATTAAAGATAGAATTCGCTCTCTCAAAGATACTTCAGGCAGAATTATTGAAGCTCTTCCTGATATAGTTGATCTTCTGAACTCTCAATTTAAATCTATGTTTACACTTGAAAGCTCTGAAAATTTTCCTTTGCTAAATAAAAGTGGTATTCTTTCTGAATGCATTTATAATGAAAACTTGGATTTCTCTATCTCAGATATTATTCAGGAACTTGCCGATCTAAAGCCTTATAAATCCTTCGGATCTGACGGCTTGCATCCCTTAATACTCAAGATATGTGCCAAAAGCTTTGCAATTCCATTAACAAAAATCTTTCATAAATCCTTTAATTCTGGAGTAGTACCCACTCAATGGAAATTAGCAAATATTAGTCCGATCTATAAAAAAAAGGGAGATAAATTACTTGCTGAAAACTATAGACCTATTTCACTAACATCTGTTGCCTGTAAAATCTTTGAAAAACTTGTAAAGAAAAAAATTTTAAAGCACATTAACGATAATAAAATGCTCTCTGCAAATCAACATGGCTTCCTTTATCATAAATCATGCGTAACTAACCTAATAGAAACTTTTGATATCATCTCGTCCTCCATAGCATCTCACCAATTTATTGATGTAATCTATCTTGACTTTGCCAAAGCGTTTGACTCTGTACCTCACAACAGACTTTTGTTAAAATTAAGATCTTTCGGAATAAACGGCAAACTCCTACAATGGATTAAATCTTTTTTAGTGGGCAGAAAGCAACGCGTTACAATTAACAATACCAGCTCTGCATGGGTTGATGTTCTCAGTGGTGTTCCTCAAGGTTCTGTTCTCGGCCCGCTCCTCTTCATTCTCTACACAAATGATCTCGCAAAACTCACTGAAACTTCTGAAATATTTGCCGATGATACTAAACTTTTTTCTAAAACCTTATCGCAATCTAATTTTGTTGATCTGCAGGATCGTCTACGCTTGGTATACGAGTGGTCAAACACTTGGTTACTTAAGCTAAACACTTCAAAATGCTGCGTCATTCATTACGGTCGAAACAACCCCCATTACAATTACTTTCTTCAAAATAACCAAGGAATCAACCAATCTCTAAGAAGCTCTACTAAAGAACGTGATTTAGGAGTCATTTTTACATCTAACCTCAAGTGGAGCGCTCATATTCAAACAGTTGTCTCTAAGTCCTTACAAATTCTCGGTATGCTGAAAAAGACATTCACTTTCATTGATGAAAAAATGGCTCTCAAATTATATAAAGTATTTATAAGACCACATCTTGAATATGGAGTGTCCATTTGGGCTCCTTTTTTAAAAGCTGATATGGCTTTGGTTGAATCTGTTCAACGCAAAGCTACAAAATGGGCTTACAGCTTGAGGCATCTTCAATACTGCGAAAGGCTAAAAAGATTAAACCTACCATCACTTGAGTTTCGACGCCTTCGATGCGATTTAATCCAAATTTTTAAATTAATACATCGTTTTGATATAGTTAATGATAAATATCTACCAAAATATATTAACTCCGTGTCTCGTGGTCACCATTCTAAAATAAGGCGTGAGTATGTTCTAAACTGTCTTCCAAGATATAATCATTTGTATAATAGATCAGCAAAATACTGGAACAATCTACCAGAGCAAATAACTTTGTACTCCACTGTACTTTCTTTCAAAAATAGACTAGACTCCTGGTTGTGGAAAAAGTTTGCAACAAATATTTATAAAACTGGTTGTTTATAGTGGGGTGTTTCCCCTGCTCGCTGTATGTGTACATTCTATGTAAATTTACGGCTACAACTATAATAATAATAATATATATATATATATATATATAATAAAATGATATAACTCTTGTAAAATATATACATGTTAGATAATTAAATTATGCAATGTATGATAATAAAATGAAAAATTAGGTAAACTATATCTTGATAGGCTTTTTACGTTTTTTCTTGCGTAAACGCAAAAAAACTATCCTAAAACTATCTGATGGTTTATCATGCAGACCAGATACTTTTCAAAAATGTCTCGATCATTTATATAAAATAAAAACCCACTTAAGTTTTTTTTTGAAAAGAACCATAAATACGCAGTATAGTTTACCAACTTTTCAGCGTAAGAACTTACGCTGAACTTAGATACTTTGGTAATTAAAATTAAAATTAAAAAAAAAAAGTTTTATTAAAATCAAATACAACAAGAAATGTCAATCAAAACAAATAATGAAATTATTTTTTTTTCCGTAATACAAATTCACGTGACAAAAATCCATATACAATAACAGACAAACAATAATGTACAAAATAAACATAAAACTAAATTTTAAAAACATGCTGATGCTGCGCGATGTTTGAGGTATAAAATGTTTTTAAATTTTTTAAAAGCAAAAGATCGTAAATTTTAATTTTTATAAATGCGGTGCCGGTGTATTAATAGATTTACAACATTAGAATGTGTTACTATTTTCGCAACTTCAGTCGTGATTTTAATTTGCTTTGCAGTTATTAACAAAACATTTTTGAAAGATGTCATCTTTGCCGAAAACCGATATGATTTTATAGAGGAATATGAAACAGGTTTCGAGTATGTATTATTAATCATATTTTGTTTTATAATATACAAATATTAATTATAGAAATAGTAAAAATAAAAATAATAACAGCAGTTATGAAAACAAAAAAACTAATAAAAGCCATAAATGATTTACTTAACTCAATATTTTAATATCTAAACAGTAAAAAATGTTATTAGTTAAAAATGTGAAATGTTTTTATTCAGATTCATGTACTCTTTTTTTATTTTTATTTTATTTTTTATTTTTTTGGGCGACTTTATCTTTAAAATAATCATTTATTTGCACTAAAAAAACACTGTCTAAAAATTTGCAAGACTTGAGTATTTAACAAATTAAATTAAATACTTGCGTAAATATTTATTTTTTTAAGTTCAAATTGTGCGTACGATATTCTTAAGTCTTTACTTGGAATATTTTTGGAATACTTTCAGAAATATAAAAGAAGTTTCAGAAATATAAAAGAATAGTAAAAGTTTCAGACTTAGGGTGGAATGCAAGAAGTGAACTTGAGTGAAGTTTAACTTGAACTTTGAAGCTGACTTTATCAAGTTAGACTTCAAAAATAAGCTTGAGCAAATGCGAAAACGAAACTTGAAAATTTCAAGATCGCGCTTGAGAAAGTCAAACTTGAAAAACTTGAAAAAAAAAGGCGTTGGTTTGAAGGCGGAATCTGAAAAAAAAAAACAAAATTTGCGTCCAATAGCGGCAGAGTATTTGAAAAGGGAAAACCTTTTAATTATAATAAATTAACCACATATTTTAAAATAATATTTCTGAGTTTTATACTTTAAAGTATTAAGTTACTAAAATAAATTAAAAGGTACTAAAATAATAAATTTAACTTGTGTTTTTTTTTATTATTTTTAAACTTGGTCATTTAATAAAAAACACTGGATTTAAATGAACATACTTGTTTTACCTTCTATTTAGTCCAAGGCTCCAACTACGACGTAACAGCTACTTGACATTCAAATGGCAAACTCAAATGGTGACAAATTTTTATGTTTTTGTGCTATTTGCAGTAAAAGCATAAAACATGGCTAACATGTTGATTATATTGAAATAATCATTTTAAGACTCACTTACAAATTAGTTTCACCTGTCTCCGTGGTAACCGGATCATGTCCGTAACGAAAAAAAAAAATCTTAAAAAATGGTCATTTATGATGCTGGTTTCCCCAGTTCCCCAAACCATATCCATAATAATTCTAAATAAAGATTATGAAAAACTCCTAAAACTAAAATTAGAAAACTATGATCATGAGATTTTTAATAAAAATTATTTTCTTGAAAAGAAACATTTTCTTACTTAAAGATAATCTAAAGTATAGATAATTAGTTTTACCAATGACAATAACATCAGAATATACAGTTCTGATCATGGCTTTTTTGAGTCCACTATTTATAGCAGCATCATATGAGTGAAGAAATATACGAGTGTTTGCTTCTTCTTAATTGCAAGGATCAAGATTGGAATTGTTGATATTTTGGTTTGATATCACTGAGTCCATGTAGGTCACAACATTCAATCTATTTGTTTGAAGACAAGATACTTGGACTTAAATAAATAGTTTTGTTTTGATCGACGCGAAGAAATAACTACCAATTACTTTGAAGAAGTTTTTGGGTCGGGCAACACATGACAACGAATACTCTGTACTCTTTTGACTCTTGCTGATTCTCTAAGGCTGTTCTCTGTGTAAACTTCCCAAACGATATCAACTCTTGGGTACAATTCGAACTGTTCCAAAATGAATTTCTGGAATACTTTGGTTGAATAATTTTCAAAAGTTTTACAATTCTTGGATGACAAAATATTTATAACTACAGCTCCATCAATAATCAAACATTTAACTATAAGTTTAAGTGCGCTGTGCAAATCAGTTTATCTATATTTAACAATAAGTTTATCTATATTTAACTATAAGTTTATCTTTAAGTGCGCTGTGCAAATCATTGAAACAAGTTAAAAGATCTGATTTATTTCCGCTCCGCAATAGTCCATCTTTTGAAAGAGAAGGTAGAAAAAAGTAAGTTTTCATTAGCAAAAAACTTGTTAAGGTTGCCATCTTGTATCAGGCAGGAAATGTATAGTTGAAAAAACAATTGGGAAGTCCTTTTGAGTACTGATGTTTGCGATTGATCTTATAACTTTCTTTTTGTATTGACGTAACTAAAAAGTGGTAGCTTATTTCGTTTTATTGGATTGAAGATAAAAAAAAAACTCCTAACAATCCTTTATTCTGGCTTGGAAAAAATGGGTAATATTTTTTCTCCAAAATTCTCAATTGAAATAACAGTATTTACCACTTCTTTGTCTTTGATATCATGGGTATCAAGCACCAGAAGATATAGGCTTTCTTCTTTAAATGGATTATCCATGTTTGAAATTACATCAACTGAATTTGTAACTTGAGACGCAAAAAAAACTTGAAACCGATTTTGATGGCTTTTATTTTGCTCATGATGTTTGAAACTCGTTTTCACGATATCATCGTCACCATTTTTTGCATATAGTAAATTTGGTTCAAATTCATTTACGCATCGAGCTAACTCAGGTCAACAAATCATCTAGCGAAGCAGTTCTTGGGAATTTTCCGTCAATCCATTTACACCTTGATAAAGTTTGAAACTATTTATTTTTATTACATTGATGTTTCGTTTATAAATAAAAAAAAATTATTTTCAAAACAACTTTAATTAATTTTATATTTAAATATTAGCTTCTTAAATGGACATTTTATTGTTATTGTAATAAAAAAAACAACCTTCTTATATGACGCATTTGTTATTTTGTTCATGTGCACGGTCTAAACCAATTGAAGAAAACTTGTTCTTTGTTTTGTTGACAACAAACATGCCGCTTTTTCCAGTTGAATCATATCTGGTGAATGTACGGATAACCAGTACACATCTTTCATCTCGAATCACGTAGTCTTGATAAGCTTGTTTCATCAAAATACGGAATTATTTTCTGAACAATGATGTTATTGATGTTCTGAATAATGATGTTTAATTACTGTTTAGTAACTCATCCTTCCTAAAAATGAAAAAAATAGACTTTTAAATTTACCTGATGCACATTTCTTGTTTTTGATCGTTAAGATGTTGATACGTTTTGATGCCTTAAGGCATGATTCTGATTTCGCTGCTGATGAAATCTCTGCTTCAACTAAAGCAGAACACCACCCAGAATCTTTCAACCAACCTCCAATTGTTTTAGGCGCCGCAATTGTGTTATGAAGTGGTCCCATCATAATGACAAAAGCTTTATCTCCGCAGCATTCTTTCCAATTAATTAATGTTTATTCAATTTTTAATAATTTCAGGAGGTAAAAGTACTATGGGCTTAATTGTCATATCAAAGCACAACTCAGAAAAATATTATGCTTAGTTTCTGTTGCGTGTTTAAAACCTTCTAAAACAAAAAGAATAACACGTGTCAAAAATGTTTTTCATTCCATGAAATAAACTGTTACTATTACCATTTTTACTAACTATTTACCATAATTACCAATTAAAATACTAATAGTTTTACCGTTACAGAAACGTAGGATGAAATGCAAGAAGCGAACTTGAGTCAAGCTCGACTTGAACTTTACATTGCAACCAATAGCAACAGAGTCTGGGTTTTCCCCTTAAAAATTACTCTGCCACTATTGGTTACAAAGTAAAGTTTAAGTCAAACTTGACTCAAGTTTGCTTTTTGCATTTCACCCGTAGTATTATATTACATTAACTTTCTGTAAGGAATGTGAAACCACTGATAAAAACATGTGAAATTTAAATTTGACTCCAAAAACACGAGTTAAACTTGAGTATATTTCTGCCCGTTATATACACGTTTTTTGGTTTACGTCTGGATCGTGACAAAGACGTCTCCATAGAGGTTTTAATTCCGAAAAAGAAACTAGATGTGTCGTTTGCGATTGATGCAAAATGCGCTCTAGAAAAAGTTAGTAAAAGATGTATTCTCCTATTACCCTTTTTTAAAATAGTTTTTAAATAATAAAACCTATTACCAATATTTGAAATAATTTCTTTTAAATATGCAATATGGCTATGTAAAATGTCTGCATCTGTAATCAGTGTAAAATGTCTGCATCTGTAATCAGTGACAGATGCAGGATTTTTAATGTTTTAAATATTACAATTTTAGACATTATCAAAACTCCAATCTTAAGTGTTTTCATGCTTATGTCCAATAAGGATGTTTTGCAAAAAAAAAAAAAAAAAAGTATTTGGAACCTGGAAACAAAAATACTCTAACAGATTTACCAACGCATGCCAAAATGCAAATGTAATAAGTTAATAATATATTTTAAATTAATAATATAATTTAAATCTTTTACAATATTTCAATTTATAAACAATTAAAAAACTTTTTTTTCACAGGCTTTAAATTTCATTTAATTATCTTTAGGAGTTCATTCGTTACGTTACGTCATTTCGTTACAGCCTATCATAATAAGAGTTCATTCGTTACGGTCCATCATAATGAGAGTTCATTCGTTACGGCCCATCATAATGCGAGGGTTGTACTTTATGTAAAAGTACAACCCCCTCATTATGTTGGAGGTTAAAACTTAACATGTTGAAAAACTTTCAAACACTAAAAGATAATTAAATGAAATTTGGAAAATAATTTTCATCATTACGTTTCAAATTTCATTTAGTTTAAATTTAGAATTAGATAGTGAAAATATTTTAGAATCTGATTGTGATTTAGGTTGGGGGTGAATCTTTTGTAGTTTTTTTGTTCCCAGGCTCACCAGATCCAATTATACGTTCATTATCTATACAAAGTATCCGAAAAAGATCAAAATAAAACAAATATGCTTTCGAAATTATTTGCTGACTTTTTATACAAGAAAAAGTAGACTTAAAGTCGAAAATGATGACGCACCAGAGGATGACGTCAATATTATTCAATTTAATAAAAATATTAATACAAATGTAGATGTTGATGATGATTAAAATAAAAAATGATAATAAAACAAAAATTTTT